GACACACACACACACACACACACACACACACACACACACACACACACACACACACACACACACAAACACACACTTTTGCGTTGTTTCTCCCCCCTCTGCATCCCTCTTGACGCTGGGGACGAGACGAAGTTGCCTCCCACACACACCAGGACGCCTTCTTTCCCCCTAAATGATCCCCAATCAGAACCCTCGTACGCACATTCGTACCCGCACACCCCAACAAGCAGACGGTGGTCGACATAGCCACCCTCACGGGCGCCGCCTCCGTCGCGATGGGCCACGACACGGCGGCGCTCTTCTCAAACAGTGATGACCTGGCGGCTGACCTGGACGCCGCGGGCAGAGGGACGGGTGCGCCACATGCAAAGGGGGCATTTGGCACGATCACGACTTGGCGGGAGCTGCTGCTTTGAGTTTGCCAGCTGGGGAGAGGCAGGGCAGCTCTGGGGGCGCGTCCGCTGTGCAAGCATGTTTTAACGGGTGCAAGTGTCGCCGCTGCCTGAGCATGTTTGATGAAGAGCGAATTTTCTGCTTAGGCGTATCTGCAGCGCCCGCTTCTGACCGCGGCGCGACTGAGGCCGCCGTGTTGCACATCTGCGTGAGCCTGCTGACGCCGGAACACCTTACTGGCAGCTGCTAAAACGCGTGTGCACGAGAGGACGTACACACACACACACACACACACACACACACACACACGCACACCTCAATCTAATTTCTTCCCTTTCCAGGTGAGAAGCTGTGGCGGTTGCCCCTGAACCAGGGCCTGAGGAGCAAACTGGACTCACCCGTGGCAGACCTCAAAAACTACGCAGGTGCGACCCGTTCTGTCAAATGGCACGGCCAGCCCCCCTCAAACCGAGAGGCTGGCAATGGAGTCATAAAAGCAGCCGTCTGTCTGCCCATGCCAAGGGCTATGGAAGGCGTAGATGCTCCGGTTGGCCCCATGCAACACGACCTGCGGGGTCGGGACCAACAGGAGCAGCCAACGCCGTGGTGGCAGGCAGGGTGGAGGCTCGGTTCCTCGGCGCAACAGACGCCAGAGCTGTGGATCCCGCACACTCAACCCTCCTGCGCAGCGCTTAGTCTCGCCACCTTGTTGCTCCAACTCCACGCCCTACCCACGCAACGCTCTGCTTGTACATGGCGGGGTGTCAGGACGCCTTGGCGGCGCGATCACGGCGGCGCTGTTTCTGAACGAGTTTGTGGCAGAGGGCACCGATTGGGCGCACCTCGACATCGCCGGCCCCGCCTGGGACGAGGCCGCCGGCCTGCCGACGGGCTTTGGGGCGGCGGCGCTGGCGGAGTGGCTGCTGGCGCGCCGGTGGGCGGGGGGCGGGGGCGGCGAGTGATTCTTGCGTTGACAGGGCCGTATCGCAGGGCGGCGGTGTGTATTGCCCTGTCGCCTTGGAATGGATGAGCCCTATTCTGGCCTTTTTTGGTCGGGCTCACTGCGCTGTGCTTCAAATGTTGTGATGTTGACTGGCGTGGCTGCTTTTTGAGCTGGCATGAATCGTGGATCTCCCTGTGTGGCGAAGCATTGCAGACGGATTACATGCTTTGACGGATCAGCGCAGGCGCCGTCATCAGACGATGCGGCAGCCGTGCGCCCTACCTTCATCCATCAAATACACTGAAAAAGTGGTGACAAAATATTGGGTTTGTTATGAGCACCACAATGTTGTGGCGCTGAAAATCGCTCCTGCAGAGGCTGAGTCTTGCGAGTGCAGAAGCCTGTGCATTATGCAAGTGGTGCGGAGGGTTTTGCCCGCGCGCTGTCCCTATGCATGCATCGGGGGTGGCCGGCGGCGGTGCTCTTGCAGCGCCGCTATATATGCACGCACACAGCACCCCTTGTACGTGCTTGGTCATGGCGCGTCGTCGCGTGCGCACCTGCAAAGGCGCCCTGCTTTGCATGAGCGAACTGTGAAGCGCCATATGTGGTTTGGCAAGGATTCACGACGCATGTAGCAAGGATCGAGGGCAGGAGAGCCCAGATGCTTGCCGGAAACAGACTGTTGCAGCTGAAGCCGCATCAAATCATGGAATGGTCGCCGCCGAACCTGATGAAACATATGGCACCCCTGTGCATCAAACTCATAGAGTATTGTCGTTTCTGAGTACAGAGACCCACCGTCGCTTGATCACCAGCGCCACAACAGGCGGCGCCGGCGCGTGTTCCCGCCCGCAGCCAGCGACCCCTGCAGAGCCTGCGCGCTGCTCGCCCCAGGCCCCGCCGCCGCAGCGTCCCCGCCCGACCCGCCGGCGGGCAGCTGCGG